CAGAAACATGATAAAGAATACAAATATAAAAAATAATGCAAAAATAGTTGCATGACTTTTTAATATTTTTATTTTTCTTCTGTCAAAGCCTGTCCAAGAATACTAAATAATTTAGCAAAAGGCTTTTGAATGAGAGATTAAACTGTCACAGAATGCATAATATTTGGTCTTAGACCTACTTGAGAAAAACAGCATACTTTGAAAGTATTTTCCAAGATAATTAACAGGTTTTAAGCATTTTGAGTTGCTTTTCCTCTGAATACCAGAGATAGGATTTCTTTAGCAGTACTAAGAACTTGCTTAAAGCCTTTGTGATTGAATGAGTTTTCATTAGTGGACTTCATATTAAAAAAAAAAAAAAAAGAGAAAATTTTGGACTGATCTTAGCAAATAGTTGATACTAATATCAATTCTTGGGGCTCCTTGGGCTTTTCCAGCCTTGTAGGAAACAGAAATAAAAGATAAACCTTGACTGGAAAGACAGCTGCATTGACTCTGCAGAGCAGATGGCTGAAAATGTGTTTAAACCACTTGACAGGATGCAATCTACAATGTAGCATTAGTGTAATTTGAAATATTGCTACATTTATTTTCAACTTCTTTCAGAAATTCACTTCAGTTAAATAAATGTCATATTGTTCAGACTGAGTCATTTCATGTTGCTTTGGGTTGATGACACTATGAACACTGTAATGACATTGTCAATATATGTTTAAAAAAATTACCTTTTTATCCAGAAAGTTTATCTCTAGTTCCATTCTAAAATTAATGGAGGTAGCAAAATAGAAAGCATGAATGCACTGGCAGTATGCGAGAGAAATTACAGAGTGCGCTCTAATTATATCACTGTATTACAGCAGTGAGAACTCAAACTAGGACTAATGGAACAGCTCCTCCTAGGAGCTCTGCTAAGGCACGTGGAGAGCAGGGAGGTGATTCTGGTATCAGCACAGGCTGGGGATGGACAGATGGAGAGCAGCCCTGCTGAGAGGGGCTCAGGATGCTGGGGGAGGAGAGGCTGGACGTGACCCAGCCATGGGCACTCCCAGCACAGAGAGCCAAACGTGGCCTGGGCTGCATCCCAAGCAGCGTGGGCAGCAGAGCAAGGGAGGGGGTTCCTCTCTGCTCTGCTCTGTACTGCCCCTATATTCTGCAAGCTGCAGTGCTGCATCCCTCTGTGAGACCCCCAGCACAGAAAGAAGATTGACCTGTTAGATCAAGTCCAGAGGAGGCCACCAAGATGATTAGAGGGATTGAGCATCTCTCCGGTGAGGAAAGATTGAGAGAATGGGATTGTTCAGCCTGGAAAAGAGAGGGCTGTGGGGTAACCTAATTGTGGCCTTCTACTACCTGAAGGGACCCTCCAAGAAGGATAGAGGGGCATTTTTTGCAAATGACCTTAAAGGGTTTGAAACTAGATGGCCTTTAAAGTCCCTTCCAACCCAGGCCAACCTATGACTGATGGTATGATTTAGCTCCAAGCCCCCTGCCATGGACAGGACACCTGCCAGTAGATCAGATTGTTCAGAGCCACATCCAAGCTGGCCTAGAACACTTAGGGGTGGGGCAGCCACAGCTTCTCTAGGCAACCCCTTCCAGGACCTCACCAGCCTCACAGGGAAGATTTTCTTCATAACATCTAATCTAAATGTGCTCTTAGCATCCACAACTTCTCTGTGCACAAATGCAAGTAAATGCTCTTTTGAGCCAGTGAAACAGAGCATAGGTGTAACAGTATTAGAGATTTTGTATGAAACATCATTAACAGCTCCAAAATGCATGATCCCATCTCTGCTCACACAACTGAAATGACTTTTGCCACTTTTCCCTTGGCATAATGACAAAGAATGTGAAAAGCAGCTATTTTTTCTTGTCTTATAAAGCACAGCCCTTCCTGAAACTGTTTTTCAGTGGTGCTGGTTCCAGTTGCTGTCTCACAGCCTGGTCCTTTGCTTGAAACAAAAAGATATAAAAGAAAAGTACAGCTGTGAGAGTGTTAGCATATTATGATAATGGTCTTAAATTTGCTTTAGGGAGTATATAATCTTTTGTGACTGATGGTTTGTGGGTGTTAAGGGAGAGACCAGGGTAAATATTCTTGTGGGTCTCCTGACTTAACATCTGTTATGCAGTTACTTCAGGCTTTGGGAAAGTAGATTCAGAGATCCAGCAGTCCTTTAGTGCATTCACATATATTAATGTATAGCAAGGTTTTGGCAGTGTAATAGTAATTAAACAGCTTAATCTTCCTTTGTCTAAAAAGAAAGACTATACAAGGAATGCTGGCATGTGAGTATTACTTAAATAATTGTAAAAGACGGTAGATGTGACATGAAATTTGTACATGGCTATAAAACATATGATGCCAGGAAAACAGCTGGAATTTATGTAGAAACATCTACATTAAGGTATGAAAATGCATTATTTTATGAGATTTCATAACAAAGTGTAAGCACAGATGTCAGAATGAAATGTTTAACCTACTTATCACATTGGAAGAGTGTCCTAGACAATTTAGGGAGCTTAAACTAACTTTTTGGCTTGTACAAAAATTAATATTTCCCACATGCACAAATTTTAAATTAAAATACTGGAATATACGTAAAGAAAACCTCAAATTAAGGGAGCTGTGGTGGTAAGTACACATTATTAACTGAAAGAAAACAGCTCAAAGGGAGTATTATATTTAAAGGGTTTTTAAATTCATGATACATTCCAAATTTTTCTCATTTGAAAGTATGGAATCAGGCTCAGACAACCTATCTGAATTAATACATCCATATTTGAGCTCAGCTATTAGGTCTTGTAGGTGAAGCTAACATTACGTGCTTTGATCTGGAAAGCTGTAACTTAAAGTCCCAGCCTAACTGCTACAGTGAAGATCAGCAGAGATGCAGTTTTCCTGTTCCTGGTAAGGAACTGTCTGTTAGCAAATACTAAACAAATTTTTCATTTTCAATTTTGTAAATACTTCCATGTCATCACAGGAAGAAGGACTGGGAATTTTTTTTTTTTTTTTAATTAAAAATAATTGTTTTTCTATGTCTTAAGTGAATACTGTTACTGTGTTTAGCAATAAAAACAACTAGATTTTTTTTTACTTGCCTTAGATTTATTTATTTACAAACTTATACCTATTATTTGATACTGGGATGAAACTTTTTGCTTTGAGTTAAAAAGAGATTTCCAGTTGAAAGGGTCTTTTTTTTTTATTTTGAGAAATTCTATTGTTTACATATTTCAAAAGGGCTTGCTTTCTAACTCAGACAGAAGCCCAACCATTAATTTTCCAAACATAACTCTAAAATCATGTTCTTCCATGTTTAACTGCTTTCTTCATATGGTCTCAAAGGGGAAAGCCTTGCTTGTCACAGTTCTGCTTAGTGGCTCCCTTCAAATGGAAATAAAGAAATGGTAGTTATGTCATCATATAAGCTCTCAGTTAAATCTTTTAGTGCTTCATAAGTGTTCTAGTCTTTTAATAAGTCCCTGGTCTATTTGGTTGTCCATTCCATGCTGTGGATGTTTGTTGGCTTCAATAAATAGTTATGCTTAAGACTCCCTGGGACTCAAGCTATTTAATAAATACACAAACTAAGATCCAAACATCACTTAAATCTTTGCTTTCCAGTCAAGTTAATTTTGAGTTGATCTCTGTATTAATGAGCTATTAGAAAAGACAGGCAGGCACAGGGCAACTCTATTGCAGAAGCTTATTTCCATAAGGAAGCAAGGTAAAAATTGATCATTTGGCATATTTTTAAGACTTCTGTTGTGTATATGCAAATAGTAATTAACATTTTCAGCCTATCAATAATAATTCTCTAATGCATTTAAGGTAATTCAAAGATTGGAGTCTAAAATATAAGTTTGCCTATGAAAGCACACTTTTAAATTTCATTTGATTTGGCTTTTCACTTCATGAAGTTTCTGGCATTTTTTCCTTTAGATTTTCATAAAAACAGAGACTTTAAATTGTTTCCAGTATAGTGAATAACTTGCAGTGAACTCAGATGCAAATCAAGGCATTCCATTTTGTACTAGGTACCTGCTCTGTCTTAAGTTTGAAATGCATTGCGTTCTATGATGTTGGGTTTTTTGGGTTCTTTGCTTTTATTTTTTAAAAATTTTGTATTGTATAACTTCTGTTATTGCAAAAGCAAGACTGTTGTAATGGTTTGGACCAAATATAGTGCAACCAGATGCTATGCAGGTTTACCTAAAGAGCTTTGACAACCTCTTAGTCTTGATATGTAGCACACCATCTATTCTAGCCATGGTTGTTCAAAAACATATAATGTATGTCATGCTAAATTGCACTCTAGCTGTTTGGTTAGTATGGATGTAATTATACCATAAACTGAATTGCAGTTGAAACTGAAAAATGGACCTAGAGCAATATTTTTAAATTTTATAGGTTTTTATGCTAAACCACATTTTAGATTTTCCCAGACAGTCTATAGTTATCTTACTGTGCATTAGCACTCCTCTCTTGATAAGGCAAGGGAAAGCAAGCCTCAGGGGCCAGAGATTTATGTTCTGATTTGACAATATTTTTAAGCCTGTGTGTGGTTCTAAGTAGGGGTGCAGGACATGCTGCAGTTTTAAGTAATTTTAGTCTGCTTGCCTGGAGATTCCTCCTGCTCTGTGGAGTTTTGATACCTGTTTCATACTTGAAATTCTTCAGTCCTTGCACTTTCAAAACTTTCATTGACCGATCTTGGTATTGATTGTTCGTGAACTGTAACAATCCCTCTTGCTTGTCTGATGTCTTTAATCTTTTTATCCATCTCCATAACTAATCAATATTTATATTGTCATGGAGGCAGTATATCCACATCCAGTCTTGTGTCTGCAAATTCACAGTGTGTTTGTAAGACATATTGGTATAGAAACAGTTTAACATTTTCTGGGATAGAAGAGGAAAGCATTCCAATATGTTGTAAATACAAAGATAGAGTTACCTGTTACCTGAAATTGCATTTTCTTTCTACCAACAGGTCCCATAAGCAGCATTTTGGTGAATAAGTATGGTAGCCGGCCTGTGATGATAGCTGGGGGTATCCTCTGTTCTTTTGGAATGATTGCATCCTCTTTCTGCAATAGTGTCCTTGAGTTGTATATATGTATTGGTGTGGTTGGAGGTAAGAGTCCTGTTTAAAAGTTTATTTTATGTTATAACAAATTATTTCTAATATTGTTCTACAAATGAGCCTCACTGATCAAGAATTCTCTGTGTACAGATGCAATCCAAGAAGGTAGTAAAATCAGTTAATTTCAGCCATCTAATCCTTTAAATTAACTGGCATGATATTAAATTATTTCTTAGGACAATTCAGAAACAACTGATGAATTTATTCAATAAATGCTGTATGTATGTACTTTTCCACATTGCATATAATTGTGGTATAAAAATTGATTGGCTCATGACAGCACTTATTACAGTCATTTGTGTACAATTTCACATTTGTTGTTTTAGCTTTCAGTCATGTTGCACTGCAAACAGGATGGCAGAGGGTAGCCAAATTCTAGTAGAATTGTGAAAACTTGTACCAGATTTCTGTAGGTTTTTTACAAACACATAATCTCACAGAAAAGTCTAACAACTTTCAGTTCAATATTTTTCTGTTTAAAATCCCCCAGGGTCAGTCACCAAATAAAATTATTCATAATCATCTATCACAGGCCTAGATATCGCCTAAAGTAATGACTTAAACTCATTGTAACGCCAGTAAATTAAAGAATCTCCTTATTAAACGTTGTGGGGTTTTTTAAATCCCTTCTCAGAATAAGAAAGGAGAGGTGAAATATTGCAGGTAATAAATGAATGAGATAATACCTGTATATTCAGGCTCATCTTCCTTTATGTTGAGACTAAAGGAGTCTGTTTTTGTTCAGTGATTAATCCTTAAAAGTCTTATTTTTGACATCCTAAACATGGTGCCTACTGAAAGAGTAATGTCAGAGTCTGGGAATGGGCCTATGAAGGAAGAGCGTTTCTCTCCTGTACCATCAAGCAGAGGCATATTAGAGTTTATGGCTTAGATGTCTTAATACAGAGAGAAGGCCTAGAGGATCAGCTTTGGGTTCAGTTTATACAGTCGACTGCTCTGGGTGGGTGGTCTGCTCCCACATGTGTCCTTTAAAACTCCTTAATAGTGACCTGGGGAAGGAGAGCTGAATGTGCTGGAAAATAATTTGCTATTTTATCCTCCAGTTTTGCAGAAAAGTTGTATATTAATTAGAGTTGGAAATAGGAAATTAGGAGATTTATGCATTTAAATAAACCCTACATTCATTGTAGCTGAGGTGACATTTAATAAGTTTTGTTAAATGAGCCAGGAGAGAATTGTATTATAGTTTAGCAAATAAAAAAATGGTGAGTCAAGGCACGGATACCATCATTCTTCTGTATGTGATTCCCCTGTTTCTATCATTGCTGAAACACAAAAAGGAGTTTTGGCTTTCAATGCAGCACTGCAGGGGAAGATGACCAAATGCCACCATGACACAGTCTTGGTATGAGCACTCATAGACATCAGTGAGGCTGAATTTCATTTTCTGATGCTAGTTGGTTTCAATATTGAGAATCACTGAGTTGGATACTGGTCGTTTTAAAAATTACTTGAAAGAGCTGAGATGTGATTTTCACTGCATGACCTGCAATAATACTGTCTTTTGTGTGTTGTTTAGGTCTGGGTTTAGCATTCAACTTACAGCCTGCCTTGACCATGATTGGCAAGTATTTCTATAAGAAGCGTCCCATCGCTAATGGATTGGCAATGGCTGGAAGTCCAGTGTTTCTGAGCACATTGGCACCCCTCAATCAATTCCTCTTTAATGCTTTTGGCTGGAAAGGAAGCTTTCTTATTCTGGGAGGACTTCTTTTGAACTGCTGTGTGGCTGGGTCACTTATGAGACCTGTTGGACCAAAAAAAGTCCCTCCTGTGAAAAAAGATGTTGAAAAAGGCACAGGAGATTCTGCCTTGCACAAAAACAACAAGAAGTCTTGTTGGCAAACTATGAATAAGTATCTAGATCTGTCCCTTTTTAAACACAGAGGGTTTCTGATATATTTGTCAGGAAATGTCATTATGTTTATTGGTTTCTTTGCTCCGATAGTATTCTTGGCTCCTTATGCCAAGCACAAGGGAATTGATGAATATTCTGCTGCTTTTTTGCTGTCTATCTTAGCCTTTGTAGACATGTTTGCTAGGCCTTCCATGGGACTTGTAGCAAACTCCAGGTTTATCCGGCCAAAGATTCAGTATTTTTTTAGTTTTGCTGTCTTGTACAATGGAGTCTGTCATATCTTGTGCCCTCTGGCAAAAAATTACACTGGCTTGGTGATATATGCTGTATTTTTTGGGTTTGCATTTGGAATGGTTAGCAGTGTTCTTTTTGAGACCTTGATGGACCTTGTTGGAGCTGCCAGATTTTCCAGTGCAGTGGGACTGGTCACCATTGTGGAATGTTGCCCTGTGCTCATAGGCCCTCCTCTAGGAGGTAAGAATCTATTTCTTTCCATTTTTTTTCAGACATTACGGCATAATCTTGCAATGTAACATTGAATTAATATAAACATTGTTCTTAATGTTTTCCTTTTACTAGAAATGTACTGTAACAGCCTGATAGTAAAAAATAACTGCATCAGTTACTTTTCTCCAACCTAGGGGCAGCCTCAAGAGTGCTTACTTACACTTGCCCCAACACCTTTAATTTATCTAAACAGAGAGAATGGGCATTTCCAGAGAGGAAAAACTAACAGGAAAGTGTCAGAAGAAACACAGGCCTGCTCAGCGTTTTTGGCAGGGTGCACACATGGTGGGATTCCATCAGGGTGCTGTGGAGCATTGCAGCCTGGCATCACTTCACACCCCAGCTCTGCTCACAGCCAGTCCTTTAGCCTGTTTCTACAGCCAATAGATGGGGCAAGGCAATGCAGAGGGTGAACTGACTGAAAGATGTTAGCGTCACCAACTTCTCTTTTCAGGTGTAAGGGGAGCTTAAAGGGAGCCTAGGTGCATCACCTAGACTTTATTCATGAGACTTGGGCTTCTAGCAGCAAAAATGAACAGTATTTTCAGAAAGTATTTTCAGAAAGTATTCTCTGTTTGCTATCTATTTTCTCAGTATTCAGTAATGCTGATAGTAAGCTTTATATTATTGAGATTTCTGATGATATAAGAGATTAAAAAATAGATGCTCTAATTTTATTGAGAAGCATTGGTGTGTATCTTGGTGTGTGTGTTGCAGTATAAGCCCAACAATATGCGAATATAAAGATAGTGAGATTGCCAGCCTAAGGAACATTAGCACTGTACCCACATTAGCACTGCCTCAGAAGTCAGCAAGATTGTGTGCCTAAAAGCATTTATATATACCAAAATACTTCAGATTACTGTCAGTATTTCTATGAAAATAGCATTGTTGTGTGCAATTCTGAATATGCCAAAACAGTTACACTCACTTCAGTAAACTAATATTTATACAAGTAAATTTTTAATATGTCTAAAAGCATTCCATATTTTTCTCATCATTTAACATACAAATCCACTTTGGCTAAGGTAGAGCAAAATATATCCTCACACAGACTCTGTGCCACCTAGTGGGGAGTCTGAGCCTCTAACCACTGGAGTCCAGCCTTTTCAGCGAGGTTCTGAAATCAGTATCAACTCAAAAGATATAAAATCCAATATTTATGGAGAAGTAGCTTACACAGGTATTTATTTTTCAGTATAAAAACTTTTCAGGAGTTTTGGAAAGCATTTTTTTTGTGCTATAACACCATGAATAATTGATCTAACTTGTTAAACAGAGGCAACAAAGGGGGTGAACATATGGAAAAGCTAAGCTCCAGTTTTGACTAGTTCATATGTTTTAAAATAGTATGCTGAAGCATTGCTAATTCAGAATTTTGTTTTTAAATATTTTTTATGAGACTACTCATTGATAAAAATCAACAGATTGCACTATTTACACTAATAAGTGAGTTGTACACTTGCAGTGCTATTTGAATTTGTCCTAATACTAGGTTTGTGAAAAAAAAAGTCTGGAATAATTTCATGGCCTGTAAACATGTATCAGGTGAATAGGCTGGCATTATGTTTTTAGCCCAGTAAAAGCATCTAAATGCATACTAAATTGAAGTGTGCAGCTTACCCTGTGAGTTTCAATTATAGTGTAGGAAAGTTCAGAGCTAAATACTTGGATACATAGAGATGTTAATTTGGGAATTGGGAAAATTTAGAAGAAATTTCTCATAAATTGGAAGAACTGTTATATTTTTCTCTCCTTGTCATAAAGAAATTTAATCTCAGAGGTCTGAATGTAAGTTTTAGGTATAGGGCTCAGAGTTTAAAACTCAGCAGTTGAGTGTGATGGCTGGAGGGAGAAGCCTTTCTATCTCTCACCAGAGTAAAGTAAAAGTGAAAAGCAGGCAGCTGATGCACAGAGACAGCAGCCTAAAAAGGCAGATATCTCTTCATCCTATTGTCTTTATGCAGCCTCAGTGAGTGTCAGACTGTCACTCCAAACAATAGGAAAACACAATTAGGAGGTGAATAAAATAATAAGGTAATGAAAGAATGAAAATAAAAGAACTGAAAAACTGTCATTATTCATTAAGCTTTACTTTGTTCTTCAACATTTTATGATTGTCAGTGTCTTCGATTGCTATCTCGATTAATACGGGGCTTTTTTGCAAGTTCCACTATCTATGTTAGTCAGCTTTAACGTGTTGAAAATGCATTTCTGCTCCAATTTCAAAACAAAAAAATATATAGATATTTTTACCAAGGGAAAGATGTGCATTTTATTTAGTATCCTTGTCTAAATACACTTTTTCTCTCTTCTTATCTTTGTATTTCAGGTTGGTTAGTAGATGTTACTGGGGAATATAAGTACATGTATTTTGTCTGCGGAGTGATTGTGACTGTGGCCAGTATCTGGTTGTTCATTGGCAATGCCATCAACTACAGGCTGTTGGCAAAAGAAAAGAAGTTAGAAGATGAGAAGCAGAAAGCACAGAAGAACGCTGACCCAAAGGAAGCAGAACCATTAACAAACAATGAGAATGAAGATGCTTCCAGCAGAGCTGATAAAGCTCCTGAAGATCCATCAGAAAGAGAAACCAATATTTAATCTGAAATATAGCTAGGAAGGCAACATTTATGACTTCCATTAGGAATATGTCTTCAGGACACAGGCCAGGTTTTGTGGTAATAATGATCAGTCACAATATTGGATGGGAACAGATTTTTGCCCTATGGCAAGACTCAAAGCTAAATTACTATCTACAGTTTATTTGTTTCAGAGATATAAAATTAGGATTACAGAGGTAGTGACTCAATGCAAATGAATCCATTGAATTTTGACTCTGGACAATCAAGAGTCAGATAAACCATGCTATAAAGCCTTCCAGTGACAAACAGTTTTGTTTCAGAAGTGTATCTAGTGCAAGAGTGTCTCCTACTCTTATTTGGGAAGATACTTGCATTCATCTTTATGATGTGGTTAAAGTCTTTTGAAATAACCTGTCCAAATTCTACTTACCATTAATATTAAAGAGAACATAAAGTCAAAGGTTTGTTTCAAAAGAGACATAATACCTGACTGTAGCACACTGAAACATTCTTCTCTTTTGTACACCCACTAGATAAAAAATATGGCTGCATAAGCAATTATGGATATAAAAGTTAAGTGTAGGAGACAAATAATTGGTGATCACACCTCTAAAATGCAATAAAAAGCTGATTTATAATATATTCCAGAAGTAGTTTCCTCCAGTGATAGCTGATTACATAGTACTTCAACATATACATTTGAATTCAAAGTATGTTCACACCTTGCTAATTCAAACTAGCTAAAATCTGCCTGTACATAAAAGATATAAACCCAAGTTTTACATTTCTAACAAGAGTGGCAATCACTTTGTTTGCCTATGTATTCCTCTGTAGCTGAAGGATCTGGATCAGACTGTGAAGCCATTTTCCTAAAGGGACTAGATTCATAATCTGCTGTTGTTAAAAGGATACTAACCCTTGGCTTTTGTGGCCTTAATGAGTTTCATGACAATGACTTCAAAGTCGATGCTTGGCTTTATTGACAAGTTGTTAGTTGTTTGATGGTGTCTTGAGAGGAGATTTAAGATCTAACTTCTGATCTTTGCAGATGGGTAGCTTCCCAGTTCCCACTTCTCTTTCCCAGGAATTTAGTGAAAAGCTACTTCTTTTTTTTGTAGTGCTGCTTTGAGCAAAAATGCTGCAAGGCACCTTGACAATGCCAGTCTGGAAGCTTTGTATTGACACACCAGTTTTATGCAGGATGTTTAGTCTTGTGTCTACAATTTCATGCAGACCGTCATATAAATTAAAATGTACACAATTGTTCCTCTTCCTTTAGACAAAACAAGGCATAAACCTACAATTTTACTTTACACAAATCATTTAGTAGTGCTTTGAAAGTTAAAAGTGCAAGCTTCTGAAGATAATATGTGAAATTATTTCTGTTCTATTTCTAGGTAAGGAAAGGTGCTATTCATTTTGAAGGGATGCTTATGAATGCCTCAAAAATTGTGAAAATTAAGGGTCTGATTCATAAAACATTTATGCACTGTTTATGCAGGATACACCTACACTCAATTCCAGGAAAAGAAAATTATTCATTTTAGTCCTCTTCTAAATCTCAAAAAGTTGGAAATATATTGGACAGAGAGCTAACTGTGATAAACACACTTTGAAGTGCCAATAACAAAATTAAAAACTCAATAGTAAAATCTAGTAGATATGGGAGGGCTTTTAAGAAGGTAATTTCTTAATATTATTATGTTCAAAAATATTTTAATTTTTCTTCTAAAAATGTGGATAGTGCTTGTTTCTGTTTTACTGGTTTATCATTTTATAAAGTTCCACAATAATGCTGATTTTTTAAGTTTTCTCATCACTGTTTTGGGGAGAAATATGAATCTACTCTCATCATGGTACAGAATTTAATACCTACTTTTTGCCTAGTTATATTCAGGAAAACCAAACTTCTCCAACAAACCCTATAAATTTTTAGGAGCATCAGAATCAAAATATGTGCATTTCAGAGTTTTGGGATAAATATGGGTTGCATGTTCAGACTCAAGCTGTGTACTTTGTAAAGAGGAATGATTCAGTCCCAGTAAAATTACAGTTCCTCTCCCCAGCCCCAGCTTCAGAGAGGAAGTAAACACATTGCACCTCCATCCAAACCTTAGCCTTGCAGCAGCCCATGACATGAAGCATTGCTCTCTTTATGGCTGTACAAACATACTGAGTGAATTCCAGGAGCTGTGAAGGCCTTGTGTGCCCATAGCCAGAAAGGATGAGTTTCAAATACTAAGCTTTCATACAGTGAGGATTATCAGTTATAAATACTGGATTATGAAAGATGAACTGAAATTTTAGCTGAAGAGTGGTCATCAAGAATATCACTCTGCTCTCAATAGCCACTGATAGAAATGCAGAGATTATTTGAAAAGAGATTAATACAGGAACTGAACCAAAATGTCTGAGGTAAAATTATAGGTGCTTATTGTTATCTATTTGCAATAAAGGAGCATGATTAAGAATAAAGGTAGAATACAAGAAGAGTCAACTTTTGACTGAAGGCTGTTAAAAGGTGCTGTTGAGTAAATAAAGGATTCAGAAAAATGATGATAAAAAAAAGTCTCTCAGGAAATATGCAGGCAACTTGCCTGTTCTATGCAGGATCTCAGAATACAAAACAACATGGCATAGGAAATAAGGGAAAAACAAAGTTCCTTGAGCCATAGACACATCTGACCACTAGTAGCAAAAATTATCTCACTATCTCAGAGGAAATAAAAATTTCTGTAAACACTCTACAGAGATGCTACTTTTTCATCTCTGGTCCATTATGTTAAAAGTTAATAGTGGTGCAAGAGCTGCTTTACCACCACTCACCAATGTGCAGTTTTTAATCCCATAAGGCAAAATGATGTGGCAGGCAACTAGAGTGATATAAAGTAGGAAGAGCCAGGTTAAACATTTCCTTACACCTCTTTCATTACTCTTTCTCTTAATAATGGCAACAAAATAAAACCCATCAGCATACTCTTGATATTACTGAATATTAAAGAAGCTAAAACCCAGAAATGAGTGAAGAAAATTGGAACTGTGTCTATGCAAAAACTGTCTCAAATTAAAAACCTGTGTCTTCCAAATAACAGGTCCTAAAGGGGCAATTGCCTAGTATAGGTAGCTCTTATTTCTAAAAGTAATGATAATAATAAATTGCCTTGAATCAACTTTATTCTGAACATCAAGCAGCGAAATGAGTATAACTTGCCTTCAAACTCCTGAATATCACTCCTACTTGCACTGACCTGTAATTTGTACTGTAAACCATTTCATCGCTACATTTCTGCTTTTGAGATTAGGTATATACATAATTTCTCTGAATTGCTCTGGTTTCTCTTAATTACCTCACCCTCAGTTTGAACCACTGAAGGGTCAGGACTAAGACATTCCCCTGATCAGTGATGAAGAAATTTACTCCAACTTTCTAGCACATGTGTCTCTTATGCGCTCTAAGAATCTATAGTCTCAGTTAGTGCAAGCAAATCCGTAACTGGTCTTGTTTTCATTTATACTCATGTATACTTCATTCTTTTAGTTTCTCTGCTACAGTATTGCTAAGCCTGATTGCCCTTTTTCTCTTCTAGAAAAAATAATGTGAAAATTTTAAAAGTAGTAGGAAGGTGGATAGCATCAATAATATTTTCCCCAATTTCATATCAGGGTTAAATTTCAAGTTGTTTTAAAATACACATCCAGATACTTCTCTCTCTTTTGGGTTTCTTTATATCATATACTCTATTAGCTGGAGAATTCTCCTGTATTGCCCTTTTCAACTCCAGAGAAAGACTCTTCACTAATAATTCTCAGTATTATTTCAGGAACGTATCAAAATTTCACCCCTCCCATCTCTCCTCATTGAACTGTGGTTGCAATTGTTGTTAATTCTGTATTTCCATGAAGTTCAGAAAAGCATCTTTTTGTATGAAAGACGACAATGCTTTTATTTCAGGAGTGTGTTTTGTGAACTGCTTTGACAGAGCTAGGGAAAATCTTACTTCATCTTCAAATAGATTTTTTTAAGTGACACTGTCCTTATTGAGAGGAGGTACAGCTTTACTTACTGCTGAAGGGAATGGCAGCCAATTTCACTGACATTGATTCATATCAATGCAAAATTCACATGAATTTTAATAGTCATGTTACATATCAGCATCCACTGTGCTTAAAATCATTTGGCAATGTGTACATGATTGTTCCTCCCAGAGAATTCTCATTCCTTTTAAACATACCCCACCTCCACCACCCCATACTTTGTTTTGATGTAACAAAAAATTTGGACTGGGGATGCAGTGACTTATACTTAAATATTTCTTGTTTGTTTTCCTGAAATGACACATTTTCTATGTTGCCAAATGCAACATTTTTCATTTCCTTCTTTCATGTCTGGTTGTGAATATTAGTGGAGAGATATTACTGGGATACATAAGTTAAAGATACTATATGCAGCCAGATTTTGGACTGCTATCAGGATTTCACTAAACAAAGCCAGTCACCACTTTTATAGATGAACATGCTGTAAATGACACCGACAATTTTGCCTATAACAAAATCGAATCAGGCCATTTTTGTTAGTTTCTCTATAGATTACTATTTTTCTACTCACAGGGAGGAATATAAAGGGAATTTTAAAATAATTATTTTCAGAGATGGCTTACCAGTTTTAATAAGGCTGTTTGGAATTTTTTGAGGGTGGGTGCACTTCTGATATTTGTGCAAATATATATATAATGAAAGTGCTTGCATGTACTATCACATTTTTGATGAGAATTTGCATAAGCATTGCTGGGTGATTTCAACATAATTTGCATGTTGTAGTTTTGCAGTTCAAATTTTTCTCATCGTCTACCTCTCAGTTGAAGTTTGGAGACTTGCACAACCCTGGAAGAAGAGTTAACAAAATGCATAATGGTAAAACCTGTACAGACTATTAGAAAGTCTCCCAAATATTTAAAGCTGCTTACATTTCTGTTTTCAAGGCAGGGCATATCTGTGTCCACATCTTTGTATCACTTAACATATCTTTAATCTGAACCCTTACCTGTGAAGTTTTTGCATCACTGATCTGGTTTAAAAACTCAGTGTGTCATTTAGCTATCGAAAGTCTAATGATTTTTCTGTGAGATGCTGGCCCATTATTCTTTTTTGTTTTCTTGCAATTTCTGAGTTAGGGAAATTAACAAAGTTAATATATCCAAACAGTTTATAAAATTATTACAGGACATTTTGCATCCATGAAAAATAAAATGTGTTTCTGGTTTAGAAATAATAGCAAATTTTAGCTTGCTTTTCCTTTTATGGGGCAGTTGAAGGAAGTAGTCACAAAATATTAGATTGGGGTCAAGGAATGATGATTATTCTTCATGTGCTCTTTAGAAAACCAGATATGATTGTTCCTTCAAAGATATTCTTCAAACTATTCTTGCCTTCTAGGACCTAGTAGATAGTCCACTAAAGCCAAAATGAAAATACCAATCAAAGAGCTTTACCAGACATTGGAGGTGATGTGGCTTCAGTGGAGATTTCAGCCTTATTTTCTCCATTCCAAATCTCAGGACCATCAGATATAACACAGTAAACACAGGATTTGTTACAGCTGGCAAATTTTCTATGCCTGCATAATATTCCTAATGAATCAGTCCCTAAATTAACGCACAACATGTATTATTTTAATAGCCTATGTAAATAAATTTAAAAAAAATCCCACCATACACTCTGAATGTAGATTATAAAATACAGAGGATATATTTGAATAAATAT